TTACATAATTATTATTGTATAGATTTCCTAAAGATCCATCTGTACGGATACAATGGTTAAATGCTTGTGGATTTACCGAAAACGATGTTAAGTGTAGGCGGCAAATATGTTCAATGGATTTTGAGCAATCATGCTACACTACAGGGCAAAAAAAAAGTATTGAAACATGGTTCGATTCCTACGAAATTTATTGAAAAGTTAGTAAATGTTTTTAATTACTCCTTCTTAATTTTAAAAAGAAGCTAATAGGAATTTGATAATATACCTAATGTAAATACTTTAATAATTAAAAAGTTAAAAGTTATGAATCTATTTCATATAGTTATTGTTCTATGGTCTATTTTAGGTCATTAATGTCAGTAGGTAGTATTCAAACAATTAATTATTTAGGCATTCAAACTGAATCATGTGAACAGTCTATAATTGGTAAGATTCAACTAAAAAACTATCCCGATTGATCTTGCATTAATTTATTTTATTTTAGTTACTCCTGAACGTAAATATTGTAGTTTAAACATGGATCTGGATCAAAATCAAATTATGTGTATGCCATCCACTTCAGCATCTGTTCAAACAACAATGCAAACTGAACAATTAATTTATGGTAAGTATGCATTGATAATTATTTCACAATTGTTGATTAAAACCATATTTATTTTTATTAGAAACGCTTAAACATAAACGAAAAAGAAAGTGTTTTGTTGGAGATATAAAAACTCCGGATCTGTTAACTCCAAGAAAATCAAAACTTTACTTTAAAAAAGCTAAGTTTCAAATAATGGTTCAACGAAAGAAAATTAAGAACCTAAACCAAACTATAAGAAGACTAAGAAATAAATTATCTTCCCTAGAAGCTCTGTTCAAGCACTTGAAAGATAATAATTTAATAACTGAAAATGCACATGATTAAATATTGGTAATTATTGTAGACGTAGATTAGAAATATTTGTATATTTTGAGTTGTGTTAGTTGTGTCTTGTATCTATATACTTTTTTATTCTGTCTTATCTTTTTTTGTTTTTTTTTTTTTGTTATTAGACTAATTGTATTTTAACAAAACTATGTGTTCTACTGTTTAAACATTTTTAATGAGACTAATATTGTATTTTACAAAACTAATGCCAGATTGCATAAACAATCATTAAACATTTATTGAATCAATAGTGAGACAATGGTTCCTTCCTAAACATGATTTTAAGACCTATGGTTGGTCCATTAAATTTTATTGAACCATTAAGTAATTATTTTTTCATGCAACCCGGCATATTTAATATATATGTTATGCATGTTATATATGTTTTACTAATAAATGTTTTGAATATTTGTTTTAATAAAGTTTAATAATTATTATTTGTCATCATTTGTTGGCCTGATTTACTTAATAAAATAATTTATGATTTTGCATATTATTTTTTCATTTCAGAATAAATTAGCTGACCCAATTAAAGAAACAATAAATAGAAACCTTAAATCACATTACATTTGATTACAATAATGTGAACATTTTACAATTTTTAATGTCATCATTATTATTATTATTGCTTTATTATTCTTATTACAATTTGTATATTGTGGTTAGTAATATAAAAACATGAACATAAATACATGATTTAATTAAATAACTAGTGTTAATAAGAAGGATTAATAATCTTTAATAAAATAATATGTGTACCTGAAATTATAACATTATAAGCGTTATGTAAGTATAAATTTTAAGTATTTTCCCCTTTATATAATAATAATTATCATCTCCCACCTACATACTAATCTATGTGAATAATCGTTAAATTTGCCATAAACATATGCAACTATAGATCTACTTAAGGTAATTCATTATGTAATTGGATATATAATAAATTTTAATTTATTTATTTGTTTTCATTCCTTAGTTTATTTTGTGTTAGATTTATTTATAAATTATAATAATTTATTTATTTTGCCTTAAAATTCCTTTTATATTTTTTTGCTTATTTATATAATTTAATGGGCTTTATTTCCGTTACTATATAATTAAATAGGCATTTTGTTAAAATTACGTCAGCAATCGGGTCATGACAATATGTAATATTATGATTAATATCGCATGCTAGTTCATGAGCTTCTGACAATCCTAACATTCTACCATTTTTATTTAATTTGCCTAAATAGCCTGAATATAATACTTGCTTAGTTTCTAGGTTTGTTAATTCTAATATAAAATCATCATTATTCCTAATACTAATTGCAGATATGTTTAAATATGCTAAAATTCCTGTTAACCTTAAACGCTTAATTATTGTGATATCTGATGATCCGTTCCAAAATACTACTAGCGGCTCCCTATCGTTTATGTGCAAATATCTTTGCAAGTATACCGTAGACAAGGTCGATTCCCCCTGGTGACTTACACTTTTGTATAATTGTTCCAGCAATGGTTCAATCACTTTTGCCTTTTTCCCGCGGAATACTCGTTTGATATTCTGCACTATATTCTTTAGGTCGCATCGGCGGAATCTTCTTAACTTATCATCCTTTGTAAGTATAAGAGGACTCCCTTCCAATTTCTTGGGTTGGTACTTTTCTAAACTATTCGATATTGCGCCGGATACCAGTAATGTTTCGTTCTTACTGACGGTAAAGAACTCGAAGTCCATTATAAAAAAGCGTATCTGTGAGGTAAATAAAATGATTATATTTTTTTTTAAATTAATTGGTTTCTTAGTAATTAATGCTATGTATATAATATATGTTTCCTGAGGTTTATTCTTCGAAAATCGTTTCGATGGTCACACGCCTCCTGATCAACTGTTCTAATAGTAAACCCAACTCTACACACATAGGTCTATTATGATTTGGTCGTACGATAACCGTGCGTACAAAGTCATTAACATGAATCATAACTCGTGCTAAGATATTTGGCCTGAAAGGTATGGTCATGTTATTATTCGCCCTTGTTATGTGCTCCGGGAAGCAATGTAATCTGACTACTTCCCCTCGCATTATCTGTGTATGATTGGTCGATTCAATTAATTCGTTTTTCAACTCTCTGAAGAATTCAAATGTTTGTAGTTGCATTCGATCGGTTCGTGTTACAGGTGGTACGTTCTCACCCATTTTTATATTTTAAAATTTCTACGTGTTTTTTTTTTTTTTAATCTTTTGTTTTTCTTTTTAATTTCTGAAATAGTTAAAAGTTATTGTTATATAATTATTACATAGAATATTATTTTACGTATACATATTTTTTTCTTTATGCACGTAATAATGTTTTATTTTATTATTTATTTTCATTTATCTTTATTTATTTAAATTATATTATTTTTATTCGTTTTCCTCTTGTTATTTCCTAAAACACAACTATTATTATTATAAGCCAAGGTCAATTCCTTTAGCACTAAAATCTAAGGTAGAGTCGGAAATTGATCGTTTAATAGATAATAATATTTTAACTCCCGTGAACTACAGCGAATGGGCCACTCCAATTGTTCCAATTCTTAAGCCCGACGATACAGTTAGAATTTGTGGAGATTTCAAAATTACAATCAACCCCGTATTGGAAGGAACTGAGTATCCCTTACCAAAAATAGAACATCTTTATGCGAATATAAGTGGCTCAAAATATTTTTCTAAAATAGATCTCAAAGATGCATATCAACAAATGGTAATTAAAGAGAGTGATCGCAAATACACTACAATAAATACTCACAAAGGCCTATTCAGTTATACTCGAAATCCGTTCGGAATAAAAAGCTCAGCTGGGGAATTCCAAAAAGCCATGGAAATATCAACCACAGGCTTAGAAGGGATTGGTATATTTCAAGACGACATAATAGTAGCGGGAAAAACGGTAGAAGAACACAATTATAGATTAAAAAATTATTTAACGTTTTATCCGAAGTTGGTTTAAGGGTTAAACAATACAAATGTAGTTTTCTCAAAAATTCAATTGAATATTTAGGTCATAAAATCGATGAGCATGGGTTGCACACCTTAACTAAACACATAAATGCAATACAATCTGCCCTGGTTCCAGAAAATAAAACTATGTTAAAATAATTTTTAGGTTTAGTAACATATTACATTAAATTTGTTCCAAGAGCAGCGGACATTCTTAAAGCGTTATACTCATTACTAAGACAAGAAAAAAAATGGCTATGGTCACCAGAATGTGATCAAGCATATAAGTACATAAAAAAAATGCTTATCTCAAGTCCTGTGTTAGCACATTATGACCAAAAACTTCCCACTAAACTCACGGTCGATTCTTCGTCATACGCACTAGGTGCAATCATATCGCACACTTATCCTGACCACTCAGAAAGACCAATTGCATATGCATCACGAATATTGTCAAACAGTGAATGCAAATTTCTACAAATCGAAAAAGAAGGTCTAGCCATAATTTTTGGTGTTCAAACATTTTACGATTATTTATACGGTAGAAAATTTACATTAGCTACTGATCACAAACCGTTAATCCACATATTTGGAGAAAAAAAGGAATACCAATTTATGCGGCAAATCGCTTACAACGTTGGGCGAACGTCAATTCGATTTTGAAATTAAGTATATTAAATCAGAAGGAAATACTGCTGATTTTTTATCACGCATTAAAACAAACCAATGCAACAATAATATTAATGAATATGACGACGCTCACATCAATTTTATTCATGAACAGTCACCATTTCCGCTAGATTGGCACAAAATTAAAATTGAAACGAAAAGAGATCCAATTACCTCTAGAGTATTACACGCTACAAAATGGTACAAATGTACAAACAGGTTCATGGAGTAATGATTTTTCGATAAATTCCGAATTAAACTCGTATAATACACGCAAAACAGAAATTACTGTTGAACAAGATTGTTTATTTTGGGGCTATAGAGTAATCATACCAACCAAATTCCGTAAGTCAATTCTAACTGAACTGCATACTTGTCATATTGGCATGTCGAGTATGAAAAGCATTGCGCGTTCGTATTTCTGGTGGCCTAGTATAGATAAAGAAATTGAGGATATGGTCCGAAACTGCAATGAATGCATAAATGCGAGACCTAATCCTCCTAAGTCAGTACTAACTCCGTGGAAATGGCCACAAAGACAATGGACGAGAGTGCATTGCGATTTGTTAGGTCCGTACAAAAACAAAACATTCTTAATTATTGTCGATGCAACCACAGAGTGGCTAGAAGTTTTTCAAGTAAATTCGATGACAGCACAAACGGTCATAACAAAACTGTCTGAGTTAATTGCACGTTTTGGCATTCCCAGAACAATAACAACTGACAATGCAAAATGTTTTAATGGCGATGAATTCCAGTCATATTGTAAGACACTAGGTATCAGTCACTTGACAGGGGCACCTTCCACCCAGCCTCAAATGGATTTGCCGAATCTGGAGTAAAAATAGTTAAGCAATTTTTTAATAAATGTTCAACATCATTACACCATTTGAATAAATTTTTATTGATGTATAGAAATACTGTACACTCAACCACAAATGAAACGCCAGCAAAACTTATGTTTGGCCGCTCAACACGTACTATTTTTGATTTATTAATCCCAGACACAAATGAAGTAGTTATTAATAACCAAATTACACAAATAAAAAATTCAGGAAAAAGAGATATTAATATAAAAGAGGGTGATTTGGTATTAGTTAAGGATTATCGAAATAAAAATGAAAATTGGCAAAAAGGAAAAATAACAGAAAACATTAGTAAAAACACTCATAAAATCATACTAGACGAGGGTTCTGAATGGATAAGACACACTGATCAGATATGGCCACACAACCAAATAAATAACTCACTGTCACCTACACCAGCTAGAAAAGCAAATGAAAATTCTAAAAATACTGAAACAGTAGGTGAAAATCAAAATCCCGATCCGGCCGATCCCGTAATAGTAAATAAAACACCCAGACCAATTAGATCTAGAAAACCGCCTCAGCGATATTATCCAAGTGATTATGCTTAGGGCAATAATTGCAATAATTAACTATTAATTATATCAGTTATCATATTATATAATAAATACTCGTATATAAAAAAAAAAAAAAATAAATAAATAAATAAATACTAACATAGTAATTACTATACAAAATACTTTATATTTTTTTTAAAGGAAAGAGATGTTGCATATTCAGCATTTACATTACATACTAAACGTTTATATTCATAATAATAATCATAAGTATTATATTACGATCGGTGGGGATTGTCCATCGGTCATTAGCAAGTAGACAATTTTATATGTACGTCAGTTCGTTTTATACTTTTCACAATAAAAGACTATAATATACGTTTGTGTTATTATTCATATTAACAATACACAACATTTGCATTTTTTTTAGATCGAATATATAATCGTCGTAATTGTAACGTGGTTCAGGTTTGGCCTTCGAGTTAATCGGTACCTCCAATGTACATCTGTAAACTAATGCGTATGGTTGAAAATTAGTAGAAGTATGTACTGTCGACTTATATACGAAGAATGCAAAGGGTAATAAATGATCCCAATTATTTAAATTCTTATCTACATAATGCCGTAAGTACTCGGCTAAAGTTCTATGAGCGCGCTCTACGGGGTTACCCTGTGGTCTGAATGAACTTGTGTTAACCTTTTCTATTTTAATATTTTACAAACATTTGCAAATGTTTTCGAGAGGAAATTAGTTCCTTGATCCGTGAGTATTGTTTCTGGTATGCCGTGTACACAAACGAAGTGTGTAACGAAGGTTTCCGCAACAGTATTTGCTTTCTGCTCAGGAAGTGGAATTCCTAAAGTGTAACGTGTCAAATCGTCCTTCATCGTTAAAATGTATACATTATTGGACAGTGTAATCGGCAAGGGCCCTACTATATCCATAAATATTTTTTCGAATGGTTTAGACGAAGTGGATGTAATAGCCATTGGATGTTTTATGTGCCGATTTGATTATTAACCTGACATGACGCACAATTTTTCATATATTTTCTAACGTATTCTTTCATACCCTTCCATAAGAATTGTTTTTTAAAATGCGCTTAATGGTTTTATTCACACCTAAATGTTCGCATAGTTTTGAATCGTGAAATTGTAATAAAATGATTGCTTTTTCTTCTGCATTATATTCTATATTTGCACATATAACTATTTCTATATCTGTTTTGCAAAATATGTATTGTAACATTGACCTTATTTTTTTTCTTATTCTAAATCATCGTGATCGTGATCGCCTATCTTGCCCATGGCTAGTTTATTCAGATTGTTTTCCTTACAAAATAATTTTAAATTTATTAGCGATACATATATGCTTTCGTAAGTGGCCTTCTGTTGGTCTTTATTTTTCGTTACTAAGAATATTATAAACCTGTTTTCCTGTTTGAAATAGGGTGCGTCTCCTATTACTTTACTAGTCGGCAATATTGTACCGTTTCCAAATTGTTTTTTTAACTGATAATTCGTTCCTATTCTAAAATTATATTGCTTGGCAATTTCTGATACTATATTATATTCTTTTGGTAAATCTATTAGTTTACCTATAGGTTCTTTTACATTAATATTTGTGATAATTTGTGTTCCTAACTTTTCGATATATTGTTCGTATGATTCGTTTTTTATTTCCTGAATTGAATATATGCGTGTGAGAGTATCTAAATTTGAATTTAGAACTCCGGGTTTGTGACGTATTTGTAATTGATTTGTGTTAGCGGCGAATGAATTAAATTTTATATGATTATTTTCTAAGGTTGAGAATATGTGAAATATTCGTGAGTCGGTTGTTCCGCGATAATCTGGTTTATCGTACGAGTACCGCGCCTCTCGTTCGACACGTTTTCGTTTTCCGAATTATTAACGTTTCTACTCTCATCGTTTCTCTTTTTATAACACGAGTCGATATTATGACCAGTTCGATTACAGTATGAACTACCTGTATATTATAATTCGTAAGTGGTTGCGTAAAATTATTCCTATCAGGTGGACGGTTGTTATTGCCATTGCTCCAGGGGCGCCATTTCAGTTTTAAAATAGGGCTGCCAAATTTTTTACCAGGCCACATTTTCTACCACCAGGCCACAGTTATAACAATGAAAATTTAAATGTAGCCATGTTGGAGTTATTTCTACCTTACTATTAGGGATGAAAAATAAATCTGCAAAGAGAAAATAACAAATAGCAAAAGAAACTGCAAAATAAAAATAGAACCATATGCTCCCATAGAACTTGTAATTCTTTTAGATTACAGTAGTTATTAGCAAGCTGCTTTTTTGTTATTAATATGCTGTTATGTAATCTAGATTACACTGTCATCTATAAGCCCAATTCAAACATTTAATAATAGCATCTTAACTTAAAATGACTAGTACCATAAATTAAAAATTAAAATTGAATCTTTAATTATACAAATAAAGTTGATAGCAAAAAAATATATATATAAAAAAAATATGTTTCTAATACATGTATCTAGTTATTTGAAATAAGCAAGCAAGATGCAAGTAAGCAATAAATTATTTATAGTTTGAATTTAAGAGTTCTTCTTAAATAAGTTTGTATCTTCGAACTTTCAGTTGAGCAAATTCATCTACTGCTGCATTTAAGTTAACTTTGCCGGCATCTTCTTTTTCTACAGCAATTACCATTAAATCACTCAAACGATCATCGCTCATAGTAGTTCTAATGTAGGATTTCAATCTTTTAAGAGAAGAAAAGAACCTTTCATTAGATGCTGTGCTTATTGGAAGCGTAATAATAATGTGAAGAATTTTTATTGTTTCAATAAAAGCTCCAGAGTGAAGAGTCAGAGTATTCATTATAGAATACAAATCTGGTTTTAAAATATCTTTATTTTTTAACAATGATTTTGCTGAATTAAATTCTGATGATAGATTTAATATATTTATTTGAAAATGTTTGTAGTGCTCGATAAAAAACTTCAAGTATGGACACTTTGTATTAAAGTAATAAGGACTAGAATAATCGAAAATTTCAAAGATCTTGAATAATTCTTTATTTTTTTCAGAAAATCTCATCTCTAATTGTGATTCAAACCTAGTTAATTAATACAAATACATAATTAAAGTATAAAAAATAAAAATCTGACTGATCATTGCGAACAATATTAAAAAAATAAAATAAGCAAGGGGTTAGCAATAGAATCAAAAGCGTCTTAACTACAAAAGCTAAGTAATTATACATTTGTATCCCATAATATTACCAGTTAGTTTTTTTTTATCAACATGCTTTTTTAAAAATAAATATTTTAAATATTAATATTATTCGCAAAATTAATGGTGTCATCAATATGAGATAAATTTTTACTAATTTTCAATAATATTTAAAAATAATTATTGATTAATTAAATATTTATTATAAGGAGTAATTTAATATTATTCTTATGTACCTGTCGATTATAGCGAAATAAACTTTAGACTTGATATTGTCTCTACTCTCAAGTTCATTTGTTTTACCAAGTGTTGAGTTTACATAATAGTCATTTAGATGTTTATTAAGTACTAAGTTTCTTTGAAAGCGTTTATGTTTCAACTGATATTCTTGATTGTTCAATCCGTTTTTACTCGCAAATAGTATCGACTTTTCACTAATTTTTAAATACATTTCATCATTACGTAATGCATGAAGGTCATCTTTAGTTGACTTAACTAAATCCATAGCTTTTGAAAATATAATAGAAGAAGATTGAAGTTCATTAGATAAACAGTTAATACTTTTTAAAATTTTTTTCATAATATTTAAAATTAAAATAAATTTAAAGGAAGATATTTCTTCTAGTAACCCAGAAGCTCGTGCTGTTTGGTCACCTTGCAATGTTAAAATTGTTAAAACTTCCTTGATTTCAGAGTAGCGTTTTTTAACTTTTTGTAATGAACTGTACCAGTAGGCCCATCTCGTGTCCACTAATCTTTCTAAATGCATTACTTGAATTTTTTTGTCTTTTTGAATTTGAATAAATTGTTCATACCTTGTATGTCCATTCATTAAAAATGTATATAAGCCCTGAACTGTATCAAAAAAATCTACTACAGCTTTAACACCTTGAATTGAATTTACTAAACAGAGGTTAAGACGGTGAGCGTGACAGTGTACATATATGGCCTGTGGAATGACATTGGCTATTCTGGTTTGGACACCAGAAAAGGCACCGCTCATCACTGATGCTCCATCATAACATTGAGCTATACAGCGGTTCCGATCTAATTTATTTTCATCAATAATCTTTAAGATGGCATCACTTAATGACTGGGCATCACATCTTTTCATGTGGTAACATCCTAAAGTTTTTTCTTGAATATCTAAGTTTTTATCAACAAATCGAATTAAAAAACTTAACTGTTCTTTTTTACTTGCATCTTTTGTTTCATCCACCAATACAGCATAAGCACCAACATCATTGATGCTACTCAAAATGTTTTTTTTTATAGATGATGCAATTATATGTATAAAATCATTTTGGTAATCATGGCTCGTATAATGACCATACCTTGATCGTAATTTGTTTATC